TGATCCATTTCCTGTTTGAATCAATAGAAAGGTTGCTATTGATTTTGGTGGTTTTTTTGGAGACAAGCTCTATGTTTTATCCATTTTTCAGTAGATGAATTCCCTGCTGATGTGTGCTTTGTCAAGGTTAGCCCTCATCGTGTTCGTATGTCTTTTGGGAAGGAATAAGAGCATAACAGAGAGTAAAAATGGTCATTTCATAAGCTAGAAATGCGTTATTGGAATATAAAAATGTGAATTGTAGTTGGTGGCTAGCATTGCTTTATCCTGAAGACCTAGAGGTGTGATGGTTGAACTTGGTATTTTCCATGGTGTAAAAGCTGCCAACTCCTTTAAAATCTGATGCAACATGACATTTGTGTCACATTTTATCTGCTTACATTGATTTACGTTATGTCGACTGATGCGATGTAACCAGACATAGCCTAATAGCCAGTGATGTGCAAAACAGACATTATTTTTCTTCTTCTTATGCTTAGGACCAATGTAAGATATCACAAAAGGCAGAATAATCTGTGACTTCATTAATGTGACAGTCGGAGGCAACTATTGTAGGATTATACACTATGTGTGACCCCATAATGTTACCCATCTAAATAGACAACCCAGCTTCATCTTCAGAAATCACGATGAAGCATGTGAAATCTATTTAATGGCACTGGTGATTCCCTGCTTCCACACATCAGCTGCAGTTTTTACCAAGGTATTGGTGCCTGGTGGTTTAGTTCAACGAATACATATTAGAGGGCTCTTTCAGGCTAGCAAGTGTGGAAAGAGGGGAAGCAAGGGGGCCACATCACGGCCCTCTATCTGGGAAATCCTGTGTGACAAAGCTGTAGCCAAATCTGCAGGGAAATGGAGCCAGAATGTCCCACTGGTGTTTTGGTCCCAGCAAGTGTCATGCACCCTGGAGGTCTTCTGAGCACATTGCAATTTGGAGGTGCTGTGTTTAAGTTTCTCTGTGAGCAAATCCATTTCCAGCTGTTTGGGGGAGCAAAGTATGAAGCAGAGTTAGCTACTGCCTGGCTGCTGAGGAGCGATGCTGAGTGTGGCTCTGTCAGGGAGAGTGCACGCAGCAGCTCTTGAGGTTAGAAACTCTCACTAGGTAAGAACCCAAAGGTGAGATGTGGCCTGTTGAGTTGCTTTTTCAAAGCTGACTCTCAATAAGTCTAAACGCCATAACTCACAACCACAGTATTTATCATGTCATTTTTAATTTCACCACTGCCATAAAACAATATATCAAATAGCCTTGGTGTCCACCATACTACTGTCTTCAGACATAATAAAACTATGAGCAGCCAGGTATTCTCAAAAACTGAGACAAGGTAACATGATTTTTCTGAAACACTTGAATTTCTGTGGGGCTATTCCTCCTTTAAGTGATGGATTCAGACCAGCTGGCCACCACACCTTGCCTCAAAGACCACATATTTTGTCAATATCCCACTTTTTGCAAGATGAAATACCTCTATTAGAAAGATCTCTAAGCAGACTCTACATGTACAATAACAAGTGATATATTTACAGCTGTGCTATAAAAAAGCTAGAGAAGGTATTTGTTAGGGAAGCAGTGGGATAAGTAATTTATATTTTGTATGAAAGGCCACTTAGGAACACTTAAAGAAAATCAGCAGGATATCTGCTGTTCTGCAATAAGCCAGTCCATGTAGTCATACAAACTGACATCCAGCCCAACACGGAGGCAAGAGTAAACTGTCACAGGGCTGGCAACAAGAAAAAACGAATCCATTCACTGAGCGAGGCGCAGCAGGAGCCTGCCTGCACACGCACCGAAGCATCGCTGGCTCTTCACCACTGGTGCATGGTGAGGAAGGTGTGGCTGCTGTCTATGCTGGATAACCCTCAGCCTGGCGACAGGCTAAATTCATAGCTAAATGTGGCAGAGAGAAGGAGGATTAAAGGTGTCAGGAGATGCAGTAGTCAAACCTGAACTGGGAGACTGGCACATCTGCTCCTTTGCTCAGCATTGTTATCATAAATTGATTTCATCTAAGTGCATCTGCAGTGCTGTCACCAATGCTCTCCTGGACAGCTTCATCTGCTGTGCATCTGGCTTTCCTTCACAAATGATAATGATATTTTATTAGATTAGCAAAAGGTACTTGATAAAACCAGTCTTAGCAGTGGTTTAGGGAAATAAAATTAAAATATCATCTCTGCTGGGAATTTCAGTTTAAGCTAATGTGCATGCCTGGAGGGTGCTCAGGTGGGACTGGTCCAGCCTAGGGACAGTGAGGAAGGTGGGATCAGCCACACCGACACCCCACTCCAAGGCCATGCCTTAGTGCTCCTCTGCACAAGCACAGCTGGGCAGGGCCCCACAGCAGCTACTCTCTGGATAGGCAGAGCTTAGCAAAGGTGGGTGAAACAGGGCAGTGGGTTCACCCCATTCACCTGTGCCTCTCTAGAACCTGGTCAGGATTTGAACCTAGATTCCCTAAAAGTTGCTGTCATCCCTCTCCTGAAACCTGTGAAGAGCCGAGTGGGGCAACTGTTTTCTTCTTTCTGGCCCAGCTTGAGCTGCACACCCAGCTAGATGGAAATATGCTTTATTAGCAGTGCTGATCTGATTAGGCTGGCAGCAGAACCCAGACAAACATAAACCCTTCTCACCAGTCATTACTATGTCAAAAATATCTCTGTGACACTGTAAAGGTCCTTTATATTTTGGCTAGCTGCTTTCCCAGTACAAGCCAATGATTAATTTCTATGTACTGCTCATTATTTTTTCAATTTAGAAACTTACAGGAATTATAACTAGGGATCAGATGGGTATGCTTGGTAACCAGTTTTTAACACCATTTTGCTAATTACAGCAAAAAGTTCTGACAAATGTGGCCTTTTGCTTTTTTGGCCATTTATAGACATACATACATGTCCCGTCATGATTTCTCCTTGTGATACTTGTGGCTGCTAAAGCAGATAATGAAGATACAAATCTGCACGCCTTCCCTGTCTGATATCTATGGGTAGTTTCCTCTGGGGACAAAGTTCACTCCTCCAGAGAATGGTACAAAACACCTCACTGATACGCCATCTCCTAGAAAGATAAGATGTTGAAAGGCACAGAAAGGCTTTGGGAACTCGTGCAAAGGAGCAGGGGATTCGGTCAGGGCTCCCTCACATTGATATTCACTGCTCCTCTATATTCCATCTTTAACATGTGAACATTTGTAAGTGCTGGATCTCCAGTTCCATGTGTTACATGCGGTGGGGCGAAGATCTAAACAACATCTGCAATGCCAAGAGAGCTTGCCACTCTGAGACTAAGACCAAAATACTCTGTTTACCATGAAGAATAAATAGTGGATAGCAGTTGCCCCTTCCAATCGTTGTTGGGAACGGGGCCTTTTCTATACTCAGAACTCTGCCAAAATGTTGCAAGAAAAAGATGCTCTGCAGTCATTAATTTTCTCAACTCTCAAAGCCTTGGCACAATAATTAAGTTATTCCCAATAATTTTGGTCTGTAGGTCCTTTGCACACAGTGCAACAGCAGTGGGGCAGTTACACACTGTACTTAATGCAGGGAAGAGGACTGCAGTTAAATTCCTGCAGCAAAAAAATCTGTGGAGAGAGCCCACAGACCATAAGGATTTCTGGGCTTAGTGACCCGGTTATTCCAAGCCTCTTCAATTTGAAACTTGGATCCATCCATTGAGCCATGGGATTAATCCATGGCTGAATCCTTGAATGCATTCCTGCTGCAGATGGGGCTGGGGCCTCCCAAGACTCTGAGCAATTAAAACTCTTCTGATTTCACTTCAAATTCGATAATGTATTTTTATATGCAGTAAGGTGTTGGGCGTAACATATGAAAACTGAGTATTTGGAGGGAGAGGAAAAAGAAGGAGCAGCTGAAGAAAAGTCTTTAATAATATTTTAGTCAGAATTTGTTTTTTAAAAAGGGCATATTCTACATGCAATAAGCAGGGTCAAAGCCCAGTATCTGGGACACAGTTTAAAGAAAAAAGACGAGGGTCCTTAATACCTCTTGTGCTATTGTGCTGCGTGAGCTCAAACTAACCTCACTGTCCCCTCTTCTGCAGAGGCTGTATCTTGCACATGTGTTACTGGAAGGTGTTTCAACAGGGCAGATGCTATCCGTGCACAGAGGCAATGTTAGGCACAATTATGAGGCTGCAGTTTCCAATTACCTTCTTATTCTGAATACCTGGGAATCTATGGAAACCAGACTCAGATTTCAGACTCCCGAATCTGTAAATCCTTCCATTGTCAATGTTTGTTTTTAGATCCAAGACAAGTTTAACAGTTTGGGTAATGAAAGAGATGTATCTCTTTATCTATAAGTCCCTTATGTTGTTTGGAAATCCCACTTGTGTGCTATATGCTTCTCCAAAACACTTTCACAGTATTTGTACATTGTAACAAGTTTTGTAAAAGAATCCTGCATCATTTTCTTTTGTGCTGAATCTGGCGATATCAGCTATTTCACTCTAAAGCCCTAGTTAGAAAACTGAGCATCTCTTCTGTGATTTTCTCCACTGTGCTTTTCATCTCATCACTGAAGTGGAAATATTTTACTAGTTAAATGGAGAAAAAAACAGTTAAGGCAGATGTTGTTTCATCATCTGGCTAACACAGAGCTCCTCAGCATTCAGAATGGTGATTTACTGCAACAAATTAAGTGCACAAATTTTTCATGTGGAAGAAATGATTTCTGAATTCCCTCTGCAACCCCATTTCTTCTGTAGCAAGATGAGTTAATGAAGAAATTTACAATTTAGTGTCTGTTAGTGCTATAGGGAAGCTTATTCTTGCTCTCAAAAGTAGTTTTGTATTATTTTCCATTATTTTAAACTCCTTTGGCCATGATTTGGAAACAGCAGCTGCGATCATTCCTGAAGCTGAACATTTCAGTCACCTACCTCTCTGTGCTCAAGCCAAATGATGCCCTAAATTGACCACTGGGTCTTTAACTAGACTGTCTTGGTTTAAACCCAGTTGGCAGCCAAATACCATGCAGCCACTCGCTCACCCTCCCCCTGACAAGGGGATAGGGAAAAAAATTGCAGGGCTAAAGGGAGACTCATAGGTTAAGATAAAAACAGTTTAATAATTGTAATAAAATAAAACAATAACGATAATAGAAAGTACAAACACGTAATGCACAATGTGATTGCTCACCACCTGCCAACTGACACCCAGCCCATTCCTGGCTAGAAATCCTGAAAAACCAAGATCCTCCAGTCACAATCCCAGAAGCGAGAGAGAACCCCCTCCTTCCTGGCCAACCCTCCTTTATACACTGAGCATGATGTTACATGATATGGAGTATTTCAGTGGCTGATGTGGGTCCGGTGCTCTGGCCGTGCTCCCTCCCAGCTTCTTGTACACGGGCAGGACATGGGGAGTTGGAGAGTCCTTGATCTCTTAGCAACAACTGAAAACATCAGTGTATTATCAGCATTCTTCTCATATCAAATCCCAGACTGAATCCAAAAGACAGCACTGTTCTAGCTACTAAGAGGAAAAATTAATTCTATCCCAGCCAAAACCAGGACACAGATGCATGTGCTTTTAGTACTGGTCAAAAACACTTGCAAAAGGGAGTAGAAAAAAGGTGAGTAAAAGCAGCACTTCTTCAGCTGTCCATCTGGTGGTTCCTCCCAGTTGCTTTGGTCCTGTCCCTCCTTGTACTGATGCAGCAGTACGTCCCCAGCCGTGAAGAGACCCTCTCCGTGTGCAGGCTGGTCCCAGCATGGGAGCAAGGTGAGAAACATGACCCCTGCTCAATCCACGCTGCAATGTGCCAGGGTTTGGGAGTCTGTGTGACATGAATTTGGGGTCTTCCAGTGTGGGGCAAGTCATGCACATCTGTCTGTTTATGTGCAGCACAGAGCCCAGCCTTTTGCCATAGATCCTTGGCAAGTCACTGCTGCTGGGTTTTGATCTGGGAGAAGGAGCTGGTGCCATTCCCCATACAGATGTGGATGTGTTTTTCCAGGTCTGTAATGCCTGCAGGAAATGATGCCACTGAGTCTGGTTTCTCCTGAAAGGCATTAAGTACATTCTAGTGCCAAGCTTCTGTGCTCTCAGGGATTTATTGAAAGGAAGATGGATAACATGGGGGAAAAAATTTTTGATTCATCTTAAAAATAGAAATTTAATTTTATTACTAGATTAATGCTTTGGAAGTTTTCTTTCTGTCTTCTTGATAGCATGCTGTACTGCATTTCTGCCATGCCCTTTCTAATTGAGAAATAATTAGATTGCTAAACTGAATAGTTCAAAGATTATTCTTGACTGCACTTTGATTTGCTCTGACACAGAGAATACATTTCAGGCCTGTCTCAGGCATTACTAGCGTCAGTAATCTTGTTACACTGGTCCAGTGTTGCACCGACAGGTACCAGGGTTGGCCTCTTCTCTCCAGTGCTTGCATGGCCCAGAAAAAATGCTCCAGCTCTGATACAGATCTGGGTGGGAAAGTAGTTGTTCCCTGAAGCATAGATACAGCGGGTTTCCAAAGGCTAAAGAGAATTGCTAAGTAAATCAGCAAGGATTAAAAAGGAGTAGAAAACAGAAGCAGAAGAATAAAATTAGAAGATATTAACCAGTTAGTTGTACTAAACAACAGAGTGTTAGCGATTACTGTTTGCAGGGCAAAGGTTGTATGCTCCTTGAAGAGGGATTCAAGAAACTTCAGAAATAAATTGAAATTACTCTTTCAACTTCAGAAGCAGATGCATTTGAGAGTGTATTTTTCAAAATATAAAGCAATGAATTCCACTTTGTGATAAAACTAAGTCTTTAAAGGACACAGCTAAATCTGAAAAGAATAGTGACATTCAAGATAAACTTTAAAAGATTTTAGAAATGCAGAACATGATGAGATTATGAAATTAACTGAATAAAAAAAACACCATTCCATAAAATATTAGACTCGGGGAGGCACCTCTGTGTGCAACTTGCATTCCAGCAGTAAGAAATAATAGATGTAAGCTAAAGCACTAAAATGTAGAGTTTTGAGGTAGTTCAGCACCCAACGGCCCTGTGGTGCAGCAGGATGCTCTCCTGCCATGCTGCAGTCCCTGCTTGCGCCCTGCATCTGGCAGGCTGCATGCAAGCAAGGAAACAGTGAGCCGAGACACTAATTTTCTACTGTGTTTTTCTGATAATGTCAGATTTATTTTTTTTTTAAACTTACTCATTTATTTACAAACCTGGTCTTGGGGCCTGAATTAATCTGTCAGTGTTCATCTTCAACAGCAAGAACATTTAGACAATTAGTCCACTGCCGAGGGAAATCGAGGGATCGTTGTCATCGGCTCTAATGACAATCCTATATTAAGGATGCTTTAGGAATAGGAAATCAATGAGACAGTGGTTTGAAATGACCCAAGGACTTTCCAACCCAGTGATTTAATAACACGGTGAATAAAAAAATAAATCTTAGTAAATACTAGTGGCCTAGAACAGAATCTGCCCAAAGGAATTTTCTGATATTACTTTTATTTGCTTGTCATAATACATTTCAGCTACATTTCCCCCTTTCTGTTCCATATATTACATTAAAGATGAAAAAAAGTTTCATATTCAGTTTGAGTTTTTCATGAGCCTTTTTCCCTGCTCGTTAACTAGAAGGGCATTAAAATATTTAATTAACTGACAGAACAATATAAGCCAAGTTTGAAAGTGGTTCTCCTAACTAGATGTGTGCCTGGAGAAGCAACAAGGAGAAGATCCCTTACTTTGAGATGCGTTTAAATTTTTCTTTCTTCTTTTGTTCAGAGATGAACCTTTTTGATCTCACTCTTTTGTAAAGTAATTCTTCGTCAGATTAAATATGAAGATCCCTATCAGAAAGCACTTGGCTTTGACAAGCCTGACAGAGTCCTGTGTAGCCTGCAACATGGTAATGGCTGGCACTGAAATGAAAAGGACTTGGATAATGAATAAAGAATATTTTAGTAGCATGACTCATAAGTAATACAAAGGCAGCTTTGGCAACGTCTGTACTAATTACAGACTAGTTGCTATGTTGCAACATTCATGGGTATTAAGTGTGTGGGATGCTGAAATGTGTGGGCATCCTGCTGAGCTTGATCTCAGTTCCTCGCAACTAAAATGCTGTCTGTCCCAGCTGGGAAGTGGGCAATGTATGTAGGTGCCTAAATATGGACTGAGGGTGACTAAATATGAGTAACTTTTTTTTTTTTTTTTTTTTCTGTTGGCCCTCCTGGTCACAAACCTTTTGAGCTGTCAGAAATTATGGAGACAACTACGTGCTGCACAATTTTACAGCCAACTGTCCTGTTGCAGCACTGGTGCTCTGGGTCTGCTCCTCACTGCCCAGCACTGCCACAGTACAGCATTTCCAGGCCATCTCGGTGGGATTGAAGAGCAGGAGCAGCACTGTGTCCAAGCTATGTTAGCTCTGTGCACGCTGATGTTGTTTGTTTTACCTCCAGGATTTCAAGGCATGAAGTAGTGTGTCCTGCTGTGCTTTGAAAAGCAGAGCTGGGTTCAAAAGGCTGGGAGTAAATCTTGGATGGACAGCTTGGAGCTGCTTGACGGGAATGTCTGCAATGGGACAGCACTGCTGGGCGAGTGTCTCTCTAAGGGACCAGCTTCCTACTCTGGTTAGAGAGGGATGGGATTCGGCAGTAAGAGGTCAATGTGACTCAAACCTGAGATTTAATGAAGTCAGGTCCAGATGTGGAATTTGCTCCATTTCAGCAGTTAATGAATTGGAAAATTATCCAAGCTCAATTTTCTGTTTCATTCAAGGTTCTTTTGCTTCCTAAGTTTGGGTGATTATTTCCCTGAGCAGCATTTGCCTTTGCCCACTCCTTGTCTTTCTGTCCTTCAGACTTAGAGGATTTCTTTCTCCTTTTTCTGAAAGGGGGAGACCCTCTGGCAATTTTCTATTTGCTTTAGGGATGTGAAGCATGGTGCATGACTACACAAAACAGTGCTCAAAAGCTGCTCTGTCTTGACAACACCATGGGACCATCTTACAGGTGAAGATTTCTGTAATTAGGGGGTGTGTAGTGAGGAAGGCAGTCCCTGTGCTGGGAAACCTATGGACAGAAAATACGTCCATGGGTATTAACTATTCATGGCTACCATCTGCTGATGTTTTAAAAATCATCTGAAGCATGCCAGCAAGCTGAAGGCTCACAGACTGCAGCAGGAAAGGAGAATGAAAGATATGAGTAAGATTTTGGGAAAGACGGGTGGGTTTGGTTTTGGATTAATGTCTCCAGTAATGGAGAACTGAAGGAGGACAGAAAACTCCTCTTGCACTGTGACCACCTTCTCTAATCATGTTAATGTGGCTGTAATGAAAATAACATTTAGCCTGTCATTATTCCCCATGTGATGCTCCCCTACATTCCTTGCTTTGTTGCCAACACTCCGGTGAACAAAACCAGGGATATTTTTCAAACATCTTAGTTGGAATAGAGAGAACAAGCTGCCAGCAGACTGCGCTAATGCATTTGCCTTGGCACCAGCTCTCATTTGCTGTGTGGTGCAGGGTGCCAACAAAGGCTGAGCTGGAGCAGATCCAGGGGTCTGCAGCGCCCAGCTTTGCTGGTGCTCGGGGACTGGTCGGCAATGGGGAGAGGCCCCAAAAGGCTCAGCACACCTCACTTAGTCTATCCCAAAGCTCTTCATCACTTGGTGGCTCTTTATGCCAGCAAAGCAGCACAAAGGATTTGCAGATTGTGCTGCGAATAAATCATGCTGAAGCAGAGGAGGTTGCCTGTTCTAATGTCTGATCACCATTTGGGTAAAGGAGTCTCCTTGTTTGGCAGGTTCACCATATCACTGCTTGCACTGAGCATACTGTTTTGTAAACTCCACTGCTGAGCACCAGCATCTTGTTAGATCCTCTGCAGGTTCAAACTGGCCCACACTTCCCTTACTATTTCCTCTTAAAAGGGAGATAAGCTGAGACCAATCACCAGAATATTTTCCAGCTATTTCTGCAAGCATATTTCAACAAAATATAACCACAAAAGCCCCATAACTATTGTTTTTATATTTTGAAGAACGTAATTTCTCATAAACATTGAAATGAATATTTGCAGCTACAGCAATGATGCCAGTATTATTTAGCCCCAGAACACACATACAAAGTATACTGGAGAATGTCTGCTTTGTCTAACATCTTAATCAGGAGCTGAATATAACTAAAGCCCAACTTCATGTGAGTGAATATTCATGAGTTTGCACAACTGAAATGTTTATATCGTTACTAATCTTAGGAATACTTACAGTGTTTCTTTTCTTCCAAAGGCGTAATGAGAGGTTTCTCAGGAGAGTCTCCAGATGTAAAAACTGTGAACAATAGACAGGATTTTATTTAGAAGATGTTCTGAACAGACAGTAATCTTACAGCCGGAGCCCATGGTAACAGCACACAAGGATGTCCCCAGTCTCAACGTGGCTGTTACCTGTATGGCTCCTGTCTGCATCCCAGCATAGCCCAAGGGCAGTAGCTGGGTGACTGCCTACTGCTGAGGCTGCTGTGGTGTTGTTCTGACACTGCTAGAGGTGATGAAAGCTCTCTAAATGTTGCAAAGGGCTGGTGTAATTTCTGTAATGGGCAAAGCTACTCACAGTGGTGTTTCCAAGGGGTTATAAGCAGGGAGAGATTTTCAAATGGAAGGAGCACTCTCCAAGCAAGAATCATTGCAACAAATGAACCAAGGAAGCATGGGGAGATAGAAAGGAGCTCTTCCCTCCATCACAAATGGGTCTGTTTCCATTCACCCCAGTTTCCATTCACAGGGAGTGAAAAGCAAGCCAGGAGGAAGGAGTGAGGCTCCCACCTGACTTTGCTCTATGGTAAGAAAATGGAGGGGGAGGACACACATGCTTACAGTATTTTGCCTAAATGTTGGTATTTCCTTGTAGTGTCCAAATTACGCAAGGACTTTGGAAAGCTGTCAGAACCCTCTCCCTTTCATGGACATGCATCCTGGTGAAGGTGAGCCGTACACTCAGCCCAGTGCCAGGGTGACGCTGGAGGACAGAGGACAAGGACAAAGCAGATGTGACATGCGGAGGGGAGCTGGAAGGCATTCAGCATCCTTCTTGCTGCTCTTAGCAACACCCTGGGGCAATCCCATTTCCATGCAGCTCTGGCAGAGTCCCCATGGCAAAGGGGGGAGCAGAGTCACAGCTCAGGGGACACTGCAGTGCCACGGGAGGGTTCAGGTAAGGCAAGTGGAGGGAGGGAGGATGTGGCAGGACACAGTCTCCTCTGAGTCTGAGAGCTCCATTGCCTCAAGCTTGTTTTTATTTTGCAGACTGAATTATTTCCAATACCTCAGAGTGTGCAGAAGCAGAGATTACTTTTGCATGGGCAACGCTCTGTTAAAAAGCCGCATGGCAAAGGCAGGTGCTATTAATAACCCAGTGCCCCCGTCCCTTCTATATCATGTGTATCTTCCAGTAGCTTGGCAGCACAAGCCCCACAGGCACTGGTGACAGATTAGTGTGTTTTTGACAGCCTGATCATAGGCCAGGAATATGTCTAAGAGGTCACAATGAGAAGAACACACAAACATAGCTGTGCAGAATTTGCTTTATATATATATATATATATATATATATATATATATATATAGTTTGAGAAGGTTTAACACTGGTGTAATGCATGACCCTGCAGGCAGTGAGGTGTCATTTCCATTAACGAACAAATAACCTGGTGTCCCCATTCAAGAGTGTCTTGAAATGTCATTCACTACTAACTCTGTCACGCAAGGTCAGTGCATTCGTGGAGGAATGAGCTCTGCTGTCATTTATTTGGCTAATGTAGATAGCTGTGCCAGCATACCAGCAGCAGATCTGCCCTCCCGGGAAAGACAAACTCCTGAGCAGACCCTGCAACCGAGGGGAGCTCTCTGAGAGGCTCAGCCACTGCTCACACTCGTCCTCTGGCATGGTGAATCTCTCACCAGAGGCTGAGCCAAACAGGTGCCCTTCACATTTGATGACACCACCACCACTTAACTCCTGCCCCATCAAACATTCCTGTCCTTAAAAAGGAAAGGCTGTAGCAGGGCTCCAATATCTGTAGTCACTTTTCAGGTAAAGTTTTAAATGCTTATTGGTGAGAATTGTACAACTCACGCCACAAAGCAGCCTTGCAGGTATGAAGTTTTTACAAATAAACCAGTGCTGTATCTGTTCATTGCCAGCACTCATTGCATGTCAGGGTGCTGTGCGTTGAATGACAGCTGCCCATCATGCACTATAGTGTGCTTGTGCTTGATCCTGAACAAGAGATGAGAGCAGACATTACTTTAAATATTCACGAGGAAATGTCAGCACAGATGAGGCAGTACAGGGGGAAGGATGGCGGTGGGCTCGGCATAAACCACTTATGGCCATGAGGCATGAACAGCTATTCCGGTCACATCATTCTCAGCAATATTAGTTTAATAACGTGATGCAAATCTTCTTGTGATGGTAACCTGTAAATAAAACAAGCACTTCTTATTGGAAATATATTGGCTTAGGAAACCTGGCTGGCAGTTTGCAATTTTAAGAATTGTTGTGGGACTTGCATTAAGTAACCCTGTGGGGAGAGCCCTCCCCATTGCAAGCCCTGATAAAGCTTGTTTTCAGAAAGTAACTACCTTCACTGCTGGTGAGGGGAAGAGCCCAGATATCTCATAATTTCAGAACTACCTGAAATACTGTAGCACCCAGAAGCACCAAGCAGCCTGGAATAGGTGATACTTATCCAGCCAAAGGTGAATTTTGTATTCCTTGCATGTACAGTGCAGCTCTACTGGAGATGGCATTCAAGGACTTTAAAGTGACAGGTGTATTAGGTTAAAACAACAAATCTCTCGAAAGATGGTTTCTGAGGCCTTTGGTTTCTCTGTAACTTCATGTCTGTCTTTGCTTTCTGCAGCCGCCTTTAATTCTGAACTGCTGGCTCAGCTTTGCTTTACAATCAGCTTTGGCATGGATGTGATACAGCTGCATTACAGACTATCGAATTTACTTATTCAGGGTTAGTTACTCAGACTCCCTGCAGGTAACCTCCCACGGCTCCACCTCAGTGTGCTGCTTCCCAGGGGCTGCGTGGGGCTGGTTCTTTACACATGAAGATAGTTTAATGTACATAATTTATTTTTGCTGTTTTGCTGGGGTAATGTCAGATACTTGCACAGTCTCCTTGTCTGAATCACTGCTCACTTATGTGGTATATATTTTGTCTTTTCTTGTCTGCAGGCTTTGATATAATAGTTTCTCTTACCACAATCATTGAATATGACTTCACATATGAGACTTTTTCCATTTCCATATTTTTTTTCAATGTACTAACAAAGCGTCCTTTCCAGTTTATCTCCTCTTCTATACTCTTTCAGGTCTTGTATTGACTTTGTGAGGTGCTAACAGGCTTGTATTTTCAAGCTTTCCTTACACTTCTTGGAAAAAACTAATTTTTGCCTTCTTCTATTTTAGATGCTGCATTTGGACACAAACTTTCTATGTAGCATATACTGCTGTAGACCTGGCCTGGCTTCTCATGCTGCCCTTCTCCCATCATTTATAGAAAACTTCTTAGTAACTCAAGGATAGAGAAGTAAAAAGCTGTCTGGTCTTAGATGAGAGTACAGCTGAGTTGTGTGTGCTACAGTTAGCTGAATAATGCTGTTTGCTGTTTCCTCTGCGGGAGGTCATGGCTGGATAACCAACCAGGCAACTATCAGAAGCAGAGTACTGCTGATGTAGGCTGGTGGTTGTACATCCTGGGTAACAGAGAATACCAAAATTATCTGGGGAAATCAATGATGAAAGAGCAAAGGAGTCACATCAGTGTTTTACACGATGTTAGAGAAAGCAGGTTGGCTTGTGGGATGAGTGAGAAACACTGGAACTGAGGCCAAAATCTGAGTCTGGGGATGCAGGAGCAGGAGTTTGATTGTTCTCTATTAAAAGCTGCCATTCAAAAGCCAGTTCTGCCTGTGACATTTGCTGTCATGGAAAATCTAAACTGCCAGGTGTCATCTTAAACTTCCTATTGCAATATCATTAAGGAAAAAAAATCTTGAACACACTAAGCTTATGTCTCAACTAGTGAGACATCTGAAAAAGGCACACGTAGTTAAGAACAATGTTTTGAATTTCTGTAATACCCAGGATAATTTTATCAGAGAGGGATTTATGTGGTGATGCATTACATTAGCCAAGTGCCGTGCAAGACATATGGAAATTAGTGATGGATTAGATTTCAGAAAGCTTATAAAAAGAGTCTTGCAAGACCTTTAACCTTAAAATCGTTCATAGCTGAGCAATCCATTAAAATAAGTACTGAAGTAAACCTTGGCCGGTATAGTAGTAAGAAATATGTTAGTGATTAATGGGTTTGGTTACTTTCTTAAAAGTTTAATATGTAGCTGTACAGAAAATATCTCTGATAATGGCAGCCACAAGACCTCACTGTGTTTTAAGAAAAGTTGGATGTAGAGCTGTGAAAGTTGCATATTTTTTTTTTGCTAAGAGCACATAAATTTTTGCTAAGAGCTGGATGCACTGCCAAGGCCCTTTGCAGCCTCCCCGGTGTCTGTGCTACAGCCCAACACAGACATGGTTGCTACCAGCAGCCTGAAATACCTTCTGCGAGGGAGACCACGCCACCAGCGTTTTGGGGGGGTTGCTTCATATAGTTGCAGCTCATGCATAAAACTTGTGTGAAGGCACTTTGGCTTTCCTTGGCGATGCATGGTGCTGGCCAAGTCCCCAGGCAGTGGTGTCGCGTGTGGCACACCCAGGGATCCCCAGGTCTTGCAGTGGCAGTGGTGGTGTTTCGCACTCATGCGTGTCCCTGGCTGGGTCAGGGCTTGGTTTTATCCATACAGTGGTTTCCTCAGTGTCAGAGCAGATTATTCTGCCAAGGCAGTGATCTGACAGTCTTGTCTACACTGTTTTACAGAGCCTGGCTGCCTAATGTCACCCAGCATAATTTTCAGGGCTGGAAATAGAAGCTTAATGGTGGAAGTGCAAATCAGATTTTCCTATCGGACACTCATAGCACCAGCAGCGTGTGGGGCTTGCTGACTCCGCAGGGAACAGGATCACTGTGAAAAGATTCATCACCAGTGACGAGTGCTGGAATATATATGTCTGCACAGAAAAACATTGCTAGCGGTCTGCTGGTGAGAAGCTTAATGCTGCAGAAAAGGAATTTCTCTTGTAATGCAAAGAAAATTCACTTCCACTGTGAACTTGCCTTATTCTTGGTGGCTCCTTTTGCTACCGTTGCTAAATGGTAGGTATGAAGCAAGGCAGGCTGGCAGCATGCACACTGGGGAACT